GATGACAATGACAATAATATCATTAACATGAATAAGAGTAAGAATATGAATAAAGATATCAGTGATGATAATATCAACAAAAATGCTATTGATACAGATAATAACGATAATAATAATAATAATAATAATAGTAATAATAATAATAAAAATAATAATAAGAAGAATAATAGTAGATATAATAATAATAATAATAACAATAACAATGATAATGATACTGATAAAAATGGCAATCATATGACGATAATGATAGCAATAATAAAAGTGATATGAATGATACTAATTATGAAAATACGAATATGAATGTTGGTAATGGTATAAATAATGATAATAATAACTGTAAACATAATGGTAATAGTAATGATAATAATAACAGTAAACACGATGATAATAATAATTATAGAAATAATAATAGTAATAAGATAACAATACAGTATTGAAAATAACGATCATAATAATGATGATAAGAAGGACAATGATAATACCGATGATAACATTGATAACAATTATGATAAGGCTAATGAAAATGATGACATTGATAATAACAGTAACAACAATAAAGAGATGACTAATGGTGATATTTATGTTGATGATAACAATAATAACTAAAACGGAGTTGATACTAATAACGACAATAAAATTATAACAAAAATTGTTAAAAGAATAGCAGTACTATATCAACAATACTTATATCATCAGTTACAATAAATGATGATAATAATAGTGAAAATTATCATAAGAACAGTAGTCATTATCATCATTTTTATCGCTATCATTGTCGTTATCCTTATCATCATTATCATTATTATCATCTTTGCTATCATTACTGTTATTATTTTTATTTTATTATTATTATAATTATAATAATTATCATTGTTACTATGATAATAATCATAATTATTATATTATCATTATTATTATAATTAACGATATTGTTATTAATGATAATAAAATAATAAATAATGATAATAAAATGATATATATGTAATAATAATAGTTATGATAAGCATAATTTTGATGATAATAGTAATGATCATGATTTCAGTGATAGTAATAATAATGATGATAACAATAACAACAATGATAATAATGATGATAGTAATAATAATAATGATAATAATAACGATAATGATTATAAGAATGATAATGATCATGATAATCATAGTGATGATAATAATGATATCAGTAATAATGATGATAATAGCAAAGATGATATCAATAAGCATAAAGGTGATAATAATCATAAATGTAACAATGAGAAAAAAGAACGATAAACATTTTAATGATAATAACAATAATAATAATGATAATTATAATAA